ACCTTCTAAAGGCATTGACGATGTAAAGTTGTGCTATCTGCGCGTTTTCGTCGATGGGCGTGTCCGTGGCGTCGATGATTCGCCATGAAACAGGAAGTTGTAGTAACTTGGCTGTAAATGCCCAGATCTGCACGAAATTTAACACATTTGACAAGAGTCCCGCCCTGATCAAATCTACATGCCGACATTCACCCACAGTCATAGCGCCACCTGCTGGCAACAGGAAGTGGCCTTTAACGAAGCAGCCCCCGCCGCTTGTTTGACCTACATGTACGAAATTTCTGTGGTACATCTACCATGACCAGACGTACAAAAAAGCCTCAAGAACCTATACCCTAAACTCGACAGGAAGTCCGCCATTTTGAATTTGGCGACCGATTTGGGACGATTTACACACTCCGTACTTTAACAAACTCCTCCTAGGGATTTAGTAGGATCAACTTCAAATTACTGCTGTACCTTCTAAAGGCATTGACCATGTAAAGTTGTGCTATCTGCGTGTTTTCATCGATGGGCGTGTCCGTGGCGTCGATGATTCACCATGAAAGAGGAAGTTGTAGTAACTTGGCTGTAAATTCCCAGATCTGCACAAAATTTTACACATTTGACAAGAGTCCCGTTCTGAACAAATATACATGCCGACATTCACCCACAGTCATAGCGCCACCTGCTGGCAACAGGAAGTGACCTTTAACGAAGCAGCCCCTGCCGCATGTTTGACCGACATGTACGAAATTTCTGTGGTACATCTACCATGTCCAGACGCACAGAAAAGTCTCTTGGAGCGATGCCCTAAACTCAACAGGAAGTAGGCCATTTCTAATTTTACCGCCATTTTAGGATGATTTACTCATTACGTACTTTAACTAACTCCTCCTAAGGAATTGGTCGGATCGACTTCACATTTCTGTTGTGTCTTCTAAAGGCATTGACGATGTAAAGTTGTGCTATCTGCGCGTTTTCATCGATGGGCGTGTCCGTGGCGTCGATGATTCGCCATGAAACAGGAAGTTGTAGTAACTTGGCTGTAAATGCCAAGATCTGAATTAAATTTGACGCATTTGACAAGAGTCCCGCCCTGAACAAATCTACATGCCCGCATTCACCCTAAGTCATAGCGCCACCTGCTGGCAACAGGAAGTGACCTTTAACGAAGCAGCGAACCAAATTCACAGCCGCACCGGCTGAGCCTCAGAATATGCAACGCGGCCGCCTCACACCCCAACGCGCTACAGGTGCGAGGGCCCGCCCATCGCTGCTTGCAGCTTTAATTTAGAATTGTGGCCGATTTGTAAATTGTACATACAAAAATTCAGAGAAGTTTTTTTTTTTGTCAATTTCCCATTCATTTCCTATGGGTCGTCATTTTTGACAGAAGAGCAAAAGTGTGACTCATTTTTTTACGACCACTTAAATTGCTGGAATCATGACCTCAATTTTTTTTGTGTGTGTTCACATACACAATGCCATAAAAGTCACCAAGTTTCGTAATTTTCTGAAGAAGCTGTGATTTTTAAATATTCAAAACAGATTTCTTTAATCACAATTTATTGGTGTTTTTGTGTATAAAAGTGTGTGTGTATGTGTGTGTGTGTAGGGGTGGGTATGTCTGTTTTGCACTCTTGATGTTTTAGAGTGTCACCCCTTCAATGCTGAGCACTTTTTTTCTGCATCGTGGCCGATTTGTAGATTGTACACACAAAAATTTATTTTTGTCAATTTCCCATTAATTTCCTATGGTCGGTCATTTTTGACCGAAGAGCACAAGTGTGACTATTTTTTTTACGACCACTTAGCATGCTCGGATCATGACCTCGATTTTTTTGTGTGTTCACATACACAATGGAATAAAAGTCACCAAGTTTCGTAACATTCCGATGAAGCTGTGATTTTTAACATTTCAAAACATAAATTTTTTCGGTCAGAAATGACCGAAGAGCACCTGAGGGTTAATGGGGATTGTTTTGACAACGTATGAGCTTAAAAAATGCAAAGGACATTGTTGTCCTTTGCATTTTTAGGACATTGTTGTCATGTAAACAGCCTGAAATGATCTGCCATCTTTCAAACCTTTCACACAGTGTGTTTGGTAATTAAACAATCGCACAGGAAACATCTGATTCTGTATCTCTTGTTATTTGATTTAGGTATTTTTACAGCCCCACTGAAAGGAGCATACATGTTCAGAATCTCTGTATTTTGTCTTGATGGAGGAACTTCAGCAGGTGTATCCATTTTTAAGAATGGACAGCATGTGGTTATGGCAGATGATCATCAGGCAAATGATCGGTTAAACTCCTCGAATGGAGTCGTGTTGCTCCTGCAGGTTGGAGATGTTGTCTATGTGAGACTTTGGTCTGACAGGAGGATATATGATACCCAGAATAACCACAGCACTTTCACTGGTTACATACTGTTTCCCTTAAGATAACAGTAGCTTTGCAGAATGTGATTACAATATTTCTTTGTATAAATCATATGTGACTCAAAAGTATTTCTTAAAATAGTAAATCTAGAATGTTAACGATCCTTGATCTGTATCTCTTCATCCTATATAATTCTAAACCTTCAGCGTATGATTTAAGATGAAAATCATGAAGAATCATTAACATATGAACCTGCATTAATGAGGACTAATGTGTTGCTGCAACGTGATCTCATGAGAATACGTATGTATGTGTACGTAAAGTGTCGTTCTATCATACAATTACGCTTTATATGCGCAGAAACGTATAATACTGACGTATTTACAGCACTAAAACGTAAAATATTTACGTATTGACAGCACAAAAACGTAATTTATTTACGTATGAACAAATCCACCGACGTACACATTGTACGTATCACAATTTATGCATATTAATATCGTAGCATTATGTTTTGACTATTGCATCCCACTGTCTTATTAATGAAGTTTTCAGTCGCATTATTGATATAATACTCATAAATATTAACATTTTGCTCGTTTCGCCTGCATGGTGTTAAACAATACACTATAAAACCTTAAAAAATACATTCTTTAACGTTACTCGTTCAACCATTTTGTAATAGTTTATTTACCTTGAGACACATAAAGCGTTTTCTCCTATAAAACACAACAAAAATTCACAAAAGACATCAATTTTATTAGTTTGATGTAATCCAAATCTTTAGAATCCATAGTTGTTTGCAAGAAACAACTCCTAATTCAGCGATTTCAGCCTCCTGTCCAGTCGTGATCTCCATTCTCAGCAGCGACCGTAACGTTACATGTCAAACCCCGCGCTGGTGATGAATTCAAATTCAAATATTGCGCCCATACGTCATCTTTTACGGCAGCGATATCAAACGTTCATTGGCTCTTCCCTGCTCCGTCACAGTTTGCGACATGAAGGACTGTAGACGGTTGGTTAGTTTAGTTCATTTGAATTTTGAAATGGAGAAGCGCGAACCAACCGAAGCCGGATTAACATTTTCATTAGTAATTTAATTTCTGCTCTGTACTTCATACAAAACTATTACAATACTGCCAGAGACAAGACTGCGACTGCAACGCTTCATCATGTGAACGGCTTTTGGTATCGGTTTTGACATTTTCGCAATAAATAAATTATTGTGATTATACTTGTCTGTTAGTTATGTTTTTCTTCATAATTGTAGTTTTTTACGTAGTTTTAAGGAATTGTTATGGTAGGTTTAGGGGTAGGAGTAGGTGGCTCAAAATATATTTTAATGCTATATTGTTAATAAAACTGCCCTTTCCCAACACCTGTCCGTTACGTTTTATCCTTTTTTATATTAAGTATAAAATAGGTATGTTTAGGTTTGGGATTAGGGTTACGGGATCTTACATTTATCTCTAAAATAGTAAAAAGGGAAATTATCCAGATATCTTTATGATATAGAATATACGTAAATAGTTTACGTTTTGTAGCTGTAAAAACGTTATGTTACGTTTAAATGTTGCAGATACGTCTATATTATACGTTTCAGCATCTATCCAAACGTACTAAAAAGTACGTTTTCTATCTTTGCAAAAACGTAAAATAGCTACGTATTAACAATGAGACCAGGCTGGATGAACAGTGTTTTCTGTGGGACATAAGTCCCTTTGGGGTGGACTTTGGACTTTTCTCTCTTAGTAAACCTATAACATGCACAAAAAAATATAACAACACAATAAAGGAAAGGGGAAAAGCCAAAAAGCATAATATGGGCATTTTAAGTAAAAATCTATTTATCTTTGCCGTTTTAACCTATAAAAACATGCAGAAGAACATCGCAACTTTTATCGCAACTTTTTAAAAAAGCGGCCGCAACATCAGGCATTTTAGGCCGCAACAATCACAAAAAAGGCCCGCGAAATCCTGGAGGGACTGAGTGAATATCATGAGGCCAAAAACGCCTAGACTTCTTTTGGAAAAATGTAAATAGTTTTGATTCTGTACAAGTTATCATGTTTATTCCTGTGCTCCAGGACTCCAAAGACATGAACAACTGTTTTCCAGAGGACATTTGCTTTGTGTGTGATTTTAATAAATATTTGAATGATTCAATTTCCGATTTATTTTTTCATTTGCCTTTATGGTCCCATAACTTTTAATTCAGGTGACATCAATGCAACACAAATATGCTGAAAGTCCAATGTGTCTTGAAAAAAAAGAGATGTGTTAATATGCTGAAAGTCCAATGTGTCTTGGAAAAAAAGAGGTGTGTTAATATGCTGAAAGTCCAATGTGTCTTGAAAAAAAGAGGTGTGTTAATATGCTGAAAGTCCAATGTGTCTTGAAAAAAAAGAGGTGTGTTAATTGCCTGTGCACAACAGAGTTGTTTTACAAGCTTTTTTAGTAAATAAAACCAGACAGAAAATTAATTGAAAAATGCCCTTAGGTCTTAAATTTATCCTGTTTTTATCTATTTAGAGATTTCCAAGTCTTTCAAAAACTTTTATCAATTTCTTTTTACATTTTTTTACACACTTTTTCTTTATATTTATTTTTTCAGATGAAAAGTCTGTAGCACTCTTCTGTTTTGTAGAGTGATATTTACAGTGATTGCAGATATAAACTTAGACTTCAGTGATTTATAATGACTAAACAACCACTTTTTCAGCAATAGGATTTATAATGTGATACTCTTGTAATGTCAACAAGTTGTACATAACTACACTAAAAGCTTGAAAATCTTAATAATCTTATAAAATGTATCTTCTCTTTATAAATGTCATGTCATACATAGTTTAAAATGAGTCACCTACAGTGAGCGCTCACAGTGGAGAAGAGTCTAGCACAGCACTAAACGGCAAACCGGAAGCAAAAGTGAGTAAAGTAGTCAAGCAGAACTTGAGTAATGACAGAAAAACAGGAAATACAGAGTACGCACTGTCTTCCTGTTCTTCTGTCACAGACTCCCACAGAGAGAGCTTGCAGTGGAGGTGAATCTGGCACAGGACTAAACGGCAAACCAGGAACAAAAGTGAGTAAAGCAATCTCCTTAAGCCCATTGATTCTGCATTGATGAAAATGTATTACTTTTTTTTTTTTTAATCTAAAAGGTCTAGATGACATCTAAAAGAGTAAAGTTGAAATTCATTGTAGTAAGCAGTAGAATCAAAGGACAAATTGTACAGTAAAATATAAAATGCACAAAAAACAATGTACATTTTTCATTGTGATTTCACTCAAACCTTTCTTATTCATTAATTATTTTTCAAGACAAACAGTGATCGGTTGCTAACAGAAAAAAACAGGGCTTAGTCCAGGTGAGTACATTATCAGTTATTTTACATTTTAATAATATTTCACAATATTGCTGTTTTCAACTGTGTTCTTGATCAAATAAATGTAGGCTTGATAAGCATAAGAATCGTCTTTCAAAAACATAAAATCAAACTTTTGAACAGTAGACTATTGAGAGTGAGGAGTTGTCGTCATGGTACAGAGCCCCTACCCTCTCCGCCATGTTGGTAGGATTCCTACGGCAAAAATGATAGTTTACGTGTGTTGTTAACTCGGTAGTAGAGGAGGTTCTCGCAATTCTGCACTGTTTTACCATACCTGGAAGTCACAAACTGCTCCAGTACCTCACACGATACATATGGAAAACATAGGAACAAAGGAATCCAGTTTTTTAGGTTACCGAAATGGACACCGCATCAGGGAGAGCAAGTCTGAACGGATTGCTTGGTTGGCTGATGATTTTGATAAAGATTGTCACTGTTTGCTTTGCCTTAACGAACATGTGCAAAAGTGTTTGAGTGCCTTGTTCATTACTTTTTTTATTTCTTTGAAATAAATGCTTGAAACAACTTGATATGGCTTAACAATATTTATAGAGAACTGAATATATATATATAGTTTTGGACAACATAAATTTCATGGACAACATAAGTAATAATAATAAAATAAATATAGCTGCGAGCAGCGATGGCGGGCCCAAGCCCGTGACACCGCAACCCCGGTTCCTTTAGTTACCTAAAGGCACCGGGGTGGTGGTGCCGAAGGCTTTGGCCCTTTCATGATTAAATGTTAAAACGGCTTGCCATACTCTGTCATTTCGACTAGTCACAATTATGTTACAGATATCTTAAATGATAATACAAACTATCCAAAATGTAATTACAACTAGACAGAAAGACGTTGTTGATATCTACAATGTTAATTCCGGATAGGCAAACTTAGCTTTTAAATGTTAAAAGGGCTTGCCATACAGTGACGTAGGCTCAGAGAGAGGCTCACCATATTCAAACCAAAATATCTGACTTCCTCTTGGTCCGAGCTAATGACTATGTTTTAGAAAGTTGTCCGGCTTGAGGAGTACAATGTATATACCGATTTTTGTAACTGTAGATAAAACTAACAACCCCACTTTTGTCAAAAGGTGGCGCTATTTAGTCCTTGCACCATGCCCGTTTCTGAAACTTTGCACATGTCTACTGGCTAATAAATGTATGTGTCTGTTGAGTTTCATGCAATTTCAAGCATGCTAAGAGTCTCAAAAGCATCCTAAAATAATTTCAAAGTTTGAAGCGTTGCCACGGCAACAGTTTTAAAGATATCAAGAATCCATTCACAGGTCTTCATCTGCCGTATGTTTACATCATACAGATGAAGGTTGAAGCAAATCGGGTAAAAATAAGAGGGTGACTTCAAAGCATTTTGAAAGTGACAGACTTCCTGCTGCCAGTTGGTGGCACTATAACTTTGACTCACAATAGTCACATCCATGTGATCATCCTCTTGCAGCGAACAAATTGCTGAAGTTTCATCAAGATCAGTTAATGTATGCTGAAGTTATGACACACTTCCTGTTTCACGTTTCTCGCCATAAATCCATTTCCTCGCCACGGCCAAACCGTTTGAGATATCAAATATCCCCTCGCAAACTTTCATCCTCAATGTCTTGACTTTATGCTGACCGAGTTTCATCGAATTTGGATCAGAGGTCTAGGAGGAGTATTTCAAATTTCATTGCATGCGTTTTACAAACAACCCTCAATAGCCGACTTCTTGTTGGCTGGGGTAAAAAGTAAGAGTGTGAAGTATATATGAAACGATGAGATCAACATGTGTACCGAGTTTCATATCATTACATGCAAGCGTGTTTGATTTATGGACCAAGTTTTCGGACCCCGTTCCAGGGGGCGCTGTCTAGCCCCCCTTCCACGCCCAGGTACCATCTTCAGCCCGGCTCAGATGGCTATGGGATCTGACCTGTGTGCAAAGTTTCAAGAGTTTTCAAACCCGTTAAGGGCCCCAAAAGCCGCTAATAGCCTCAAAACCATTAAAAACAATAATTTTAAAGTTTGATGCGTTGCTACGGCAACAGTATCAAAGATATCAAGAATCCTTTCACCGGTCTTCATCTGCTATGTATTTACATTATACAGATGAAGTTTGAAGCAAATTAGGTAAAAATAAGAGGGTGATTTCAAAGCATTTTGAAAGTGACACACTTCCTGCTGCCAGTTGGTGGCACTTTAAATTTGACTCACAATAGTCACATCTATGTGATCGGCCTCTTACAGCGAACACACTGCTGAAGTTTCATCAAGATCAGTTAATGTATGCTGAAGTTATAACACACTTCCTGTTCACGTTTCTCGCTATAATTTCGTTTCCTCGCCACGGCCAAACCGTTCGAGATATCAAAAATCCCCTGGCAATTTTTTATCCTCAATGTCTTGACTTCACGCTGATCGAGTTTTGTGGCATTTCTTTGAATTCTCAAGAGAAGTACTTTAAGTTATTCCATTGCATGTTATTTACAAACAACCCTAAATAGCCAACTTCCTGTTGGGCTGGGGTAAAAAGTAAGAGTGTGAAGTATATATGAACCGATGAGATCTATGTGTACCGAGTTTCATATTTTTAAATGCAAGCGTGTTTGATTTATGGACCAAATTTTCAGACCAAGTTTATTGACCAAGTTAATCTGATTAATAAACGAATTATATAAAACTATTGTCAATGCACTACAATTAAACTAGTTATATGCCTTTACTTATAAAAAATAAAAATAAAAACTTATTTAAAAAATACCAGGCTTGAGAAATGTATTTTCTTTATGCAGGTCATAAACACAGCAGTGAAATGGTTAAGCCCCCTCCCCCTGCACACACACACACAGACAGGCACACACACACACACACACACACACACACACACACACACACACACACACACACACACACACACACACACACAACACACACACACACACACACACAGACAGCCAAAGACACAGAGACATGTAGGCTCAGAGTGACCCAGACCATATTCAAACAAAAATATCTGACTTTCTGTGGGTCCTAGCTAATAAGTGTAAATTAGAAAGTTGTCCGGCTTGAGGAGTACAATATACATACCAATTTTTGTAACTCTAGTTAAAACTAACAACCCCACTTTTGTCAAAAGGTGGCGCTACTGACCCCTCACCACGCCCGTTTCTGAAACTTTGCACATGTCTACTGGCTAATAAATGTGATGTGTTTGTCAAGTTTCATGCAATTTGAAGCATGCTAAGGGTCTCAAAAGCATCCTAACAGAATGGTAAAGTTTGATGCATTGCCACGGCAACAGTTTAAAAGATATCAAGAATCCATTCACAGGTCTACATCTACCGTATGTTTACATTATACAGATGCAGTTTGAAGCAAATCGGGTAAAAATAAAAGGGTGATTTCAAAGCATTTTGAAAGTGACACACTTCCTGCTGCCAGTTGGTGGCGCTATAACTTTGACTCACAATAGTCACATCCATGTGATCGTCCTCTTACAGCGAACACACTGCTGAAGTTTCATCAAGATCAGTTAATGTATGCTGAAGTTATAACACACTTCCTGTTTCACGTTTCTCGCCATAGTTTCATTTCCTCGCCACGGACAAACCGTTCGAGATAACCGTTCGCAAACTTTCATCCTCAATGTCTTGACTTCACGCTGACTGAGTTTCATCGAATTTGGATCAAAGCTCTAGGAGGAGTATTTCACATTCCATTGCGAGCGTTTTACAAACAAACCTCAATAGCCGACTTCCTGTTGGGCTGGGGTAAAAAGTAAGAGTGTGAGGTATAGATGAAACGATGAGATCAACATGTGTACCGAGTTTCATATTATTACATACAAGCGTGTTTGAGTTATGGACCAAGTGTTTGGACCCCGTTCCAGGGGGCGCTGACGAGCCGTCCTGCCACGCCCGGGTACCAGCTTCAGCCCGGCTCTGATGGCCGCGGGTTCTGACCCGTGTGCAAAGTTTCAAGAGTTTTCGAGCATGTTAAGGGCCCCAAAAGTGCCCGAATAGTCGTTAGAAAAATAAAAGAAAAAAAATAAATAAATAAATAATCGGAAGGAAAACAATAGGGCCTTCGCCCTTCCAGGGCTTGGGCCCTAATAATCCTAAGGAAAACAATAGGGCCTTCGCCCTTTCAGGGCTTGGGCCCTAATAATCCCAAGGAAAACAATAGGGCCTTCGCCCTTTCAGGGCTTGGGCCCTAATAATCCTAAGGAAAACAATAGGGCCTTCGCCCTTTCAGGGCTTGGGCCCTAATAATACTGTT